ACATAAAGAAATTATAAATTTTGCTAAGAAACCTATGAACGGATGGACCAGAGGACTTCTTAGAATCAGTGGCGGATTTCATGGGGGCGCACTCCCCTAAAATTGTCAAAGTTAAAGTCAAGATCTAGTAAATGAAAGGTGCTTACAGATTTATCAAAGAATGACTGCACTTAAGCTATGAGAGTTGGAACCTTTTTGTCTACCCATTTTAAGCTAAACATTACAATATATCAATAAATTAATCTATGATTAATGTGCAAGCACATGCTTGTGATATTTATTTCTAGAATTTTTTGTCACACATATTTCTATAATTACAGAAAATGTAATTGAAAAGAACATGTAAAAGCCTTAAATTCCGGAAATTTGAATTGGACCACTTTCGAATCTAAGGTATCCGCAAATAGGCGTAGTCATTTAAACCGCATGGTTGTGGAATGTAAACATTAGCACATATGATTTTTTTTCGCACTACGAATTTAAATGGAGAAGAGAGAGATCTTGTTGATTTTATGGTGCACAATTATGAAATGATTCTTATGATAAGGGATGGGGTAGATGTCTCGCTCTACAGACCATAATACAGAGGCGACATAAGCCTATAGATACACGTACTTACTATTGACACTGTCAGTACCAAATTTCTTTCCAAACACCCCTAATGTAAAGCATAAAGTTAAATAAGAGACATATTATCTTCAAACACTATTAAAATTTGCGCAAAAATATCCCATAGTTTGAAGTACAATAGATACTATCACAACAGAGACTTACACACAATGAAATGTTCAATGAAAGCATAAGCGTATCGAACAGCAGAATGTCACGTGATTAAGGTGATTATCATATCAATCGTTGATGCACGGTGACCGGTTAATTTAGTAGTTATCTCGACCCTAGTTTGGGGATATTTTTTTTAAAAATTACATATGAGCCGCAACTTGACCAACATTGTCCTTTGGATATGTTTAAGTTTAAGTTAAAATACACATTCTGTGCAAATAAGAAAAATGGACAAGTTGTGGCTCGATGTAAACAAAGTCGATGAAAACAACAATAGAAATGAGACAAAACTACTAGACCCCCGTCTCAAAAGCTGGTGTCGCTCGTCATTGTTTAATACTTTCATGTTATATAATATACCAAAAACCTGCTCTTAAGATATTGTTTAATACCTAAATTGAATAAATTTTGGAATTTTATTTTGCGCAAACACCGGGTTCCAACTCTCATAGCTTAAGTGCAGTAAATCTTTGACAAATAAATTTCTTTATTGATGCTTTACATTTTAAGCTTGGTGTTTCGAGGCATAATTTGTAGGTAAACAAGATGGAAAAGTGTAAACATGTCATGGGTCTCCCATCTCAGGGAATGATAATGCAACACAGTAGTTCCTCAATAAAGGTTCATATATTTTATTACTTGACAATTACGATGGAACTTGAAACATATGATAAATGAAGTACAGACAAACAAACGAATGAAGGTGACCTGCAATGAAAATGACACACTCGTACAAATTCACACACACTAATATTTATTTAATTAGAATAGTTTAAAATAAGAATAAGTATTAATTACCTGATCCCACCTCTGATGTTTCGGAGGTCCGTGTTTGCTCTGCTCTTGTTTTGTATATTTGTTTAATGGACGTTGAGATTGAATACTGTTCGTTATTTCCATATCCTTATCTTACCAGTTGCAAAATTGCACTAGGAATCCGTAAGGAATTTCTTAGTTAAACTGCAATAACATAGATTTCTCGCAGGAGAACATCTTTTAGCAACTAAATGTATTGTTCAGATTAAAAAGGAATAGTTCGTGCATAAGTATATATACCAGGACTCACACATGCGTACAAAACTACCACACCCCATACCTAGGATAATAATAGACCACAAGACAATCACGTGACAACCAAACACGTGACACGGAACACCGGACAAACAAGAATACAATACAAACACGATGACAATGAATGACCAGGTATGAATGAATGATTGGAATTTACTACAGCTGTCTTTTTTACTATGATAAATTACTAGGCTACTGTGTGCTAATCTAAGATGAACTAAATATTCACATAAATTATAAGTAATTGTCCCCCTGTGACAATTGTATAAACTTTTCACATCTTATAGGTCATTACGTGATCTTATCTCACGGCGCAATAATATCTAGATAAAATTACTTGTTCTACTTATTAGGAGTGTGTATGACTTTTACAAGAAAAATGTTCAAAATTCGCAAGAAAAGAATCTATTTCACATCAATTTTTTACGGATGACGCATCTGTGATATACTAGTAATTGTGTTTCATCAATTCACAGAAGTTGCTTGAAAAGAATTCTCTATAAACATTCTACCCAATTATATATATATAAAGATACATTTTATTAACTGTTTGTTTTAGGTATTTTTGTCTGTCTTAGGGCAGTATAAATTTCATCATCTTTCATTGAAAGATGTATTTAGGGGGTCTATACATGCAACGTATACTGTAGTATCGAAATTTTGCCGATCTTATGTATACTCTAGAAACAGTAGCTAGTATATGTATAGTATAGTGCCCCATTAATTAAAACGTCTGACGATTTTTTTTGTGTGCCAGTGACATTTTGATAGTTGATACTGTCCCCAGCTGAATTGATTCCTACAGGCCTGCATGACACAAACACATTTTATGCTATTACCTCTGAATTTCCCCGGAAGATTTTGCTCTTTTTCTATTCTTTCCATTTTCCCTTTGACTCTTCCTTCCATTCCCTTATTAATGATATCTGTATCTTCTTTATGACTTTTGTTCATTAGCTTTTCAAATAAGATATTCCTTTCTTTGGTTTTTATTTTCATTTCTTTTCTAAAGATATCTCTCTCTACTTGGTTACTTTTTTCCATTATCTTTGTAAAGATATCTGTCTTTTCTGTGGTTTCCATTTTCAATTTCAAACCTTGATAATAATCTGTAAAGATATCTTTCACTGATTTTACTCCTTGTGACATTTTCTCTCCTACGGTGTCCATTTTATCTTTTATTTCCATTCCTTTTCCAAAGATATCTTTCTCTTCTTTGGTACTTCTTTCCATCCCCTTTTTAAAGATATCCTTCTTTTCTTTGGTTCCCCTTTCCAATTCCATTTTGAAGATATCTGTCCCTTCTGAGGCTCTTTGTGACATTTTCTCTTCGAAGATGTCCATCTCGCCTTTGACTCTATTTTCCGTTCCCTTTCTGAAGATATCCCTCTCTTCTTTTGATCTTCTTTCCATTTCTTCTTTGGCCCTTCTTTCAATATATTTTTCGACACTATTCATTTCTAGATTTTTAAGTGCTTCTTCCAAGTTTTCAAAAACTTTAAAAATTTGTTCAAAATCTGATCGCTCCAAACACAACGGAGGGTAAGTAAAGTATTTTCTGTAAATATCCATAATATTCTCAATGCAGGCGGCCATTGAGGTGTCCGATGGATCTGGCGTTTTACCCCATCCTCTGCTATGGGGTTCCATGAAGCAAATAGTTTGGAATAAGATGTATAGAAGAGGCAGATCTAAATTTTCGTAACTCCCAGAGAATGATCCTTTCTTGGGATAAAGCATTTTGTGTTGATCGACATTAATTAAAGGTAATACTTGATCTTTGGACTTTTTTATCGTTGTTACGAAATCCTCATCTTGGACATATCTTCGAAGGATTTTACGAAACAGATTTGTACATGGACCAGATAAAAAGCTTTTGACTTCATTCAAATTTTGTCCTGCAACGTCTAAGTCTTGTAGTCTTAAGTCATAGTCTGCAATAGGAAACGTAAAAATATTAAGGGAAAGTCTAAAACTCCCAATTACCCTTAAAAATAGTTAAAACAAACATGTAAGAACGTTTTTATGCCCCCGTAAAAGAAGTTTCGGGGGTATGTAGTTTTTGTCGTGTCTGTCTGTCTGTTTGTCTGTTTGTCCGCAAAAACTTTAACCTTGCCCATAACTTTTGATTAAGTGGAGCTATGACTATGACAAGACCTTTCTTTGGGTACCACCAAATTTGACCTTTTGACCTTGACCTTGGAATTTGACCCACTTTAACATGAAAATTTTATAATTTTATTTTGGCCATATCTTTTGATCAATAGACACCAGGACATTTATACTTCACATATGTAATGTTTGTTTAAAGTCCTTTCACTGGATACCAACAACCTTGACCCTTTGACCTTGACCTTGTAGATTTCTATACTTGTAAAAAAAACTTTAACCTTGGCCATAACTTTTGATAAGTAAGGGATAGGGCTTTCATACTTCATATATGTAATTCTTGTGAGAAGACCCTTCATTGGATATGAAGATCCTTGACCCTTTGACCTTGACCTTTGAGCTTAACCTACTTTAAAAAAGCAAACCTTGATCATAACTTTAAAAGAGTAAGGGCTAGTGCTTTCATACATTACATATTTGATTCTTATGACAAGATATTTCATTTGATAACAATAACTTTGACCTTGACCCTGGAGTTTGACCTACTTTTAAGAAAAAATTTAAATTTTTACTTTGGGCATATCTTTTGAACAGTAGACACCAGGACTTTTATACTTCACATATGTAATGTATGTTAAAAGACCTTTCACTGGATATACCAACAACCTTGACCCTTTGACCTTGTAGATTTTCGAACTTGTGAAAAACTTTAACCTTGGCCATTACTTTTGAACAGTAAGAGATAGGGCTTTTATACTTAGTATATGTAATCCTTGTAAAAAAAGACCCTTCATTGAATATGTAGATCCTTGACCCTTTGATCTTGACCTTTGAGATTAACCTACTTTAAAAAAGCAAACCTTGACCATAACATTAAAAGAGTAAGGGCTAGTGCTTTCATACTTTACATATTTGATTCTTATGACAAGACCTTTCATTGATAACAATGACTTTGACCCTTTGACCTTGACCCTGCAGTTTGACCTACTTTTTAAGAAATTGAACGTTATCCATAACTTCTGAACGGTTAGGGCTAGGGCTTTCATGCTCTACATAACTATTTTATGTGGCAAGACCTTTTATTTGATACTAATTACATTGACCTTATGACCCTGTATATTTTTATACCAATTAAAAACCTTTAACATTGGCTTACTTTCAAATTTCATAATTGTTTTCCAGTGAGAATACCCTACTTTTGGTACCATTTAATTAAATTTGCATTTGATAAAAGCTTAATCTTTGCTATGTTGCCATACGGGGGCATCAGTGTTTTACAAACAAATCTTGTTAACAAGGAGTTTTTGTTGCTTTTTTTTAATTAAAACTCGCAAATTTACTTACATTCTTATATTATCATTTGCAATCTGATTTTGTTAAAACACTCTAATTGAACCAAGTACTCTAAAGATAACGTCAAAATGTTGCTTGAGATTCTTAATGACAATATCTATGTGTATTGTGGAGACAGGATCATCAAACAATTTAATGGAATACTAAAAGGTACCAAATGCGTCCAGTTATTAGCCGACCTTTTTGTATTCATATGAAGCAGAATTTGTGCAAAATCTTATGCGTGAAAAAAAAAACACTAGCTTAGGCCTTAAACTCAACATCAATATATATCAACGACATATTGTCAATTAACATTGGTAATTTCCATTCATAAGTCGGTACGATATATCATGGTGAGCTTAAGATTAAAAAAATACCACAGAGTCTGACACATGTGTAAAATATTTGGATATTTTACTTACAAAGACATTAATAGTAACCTAACAACCAAGTACAATGATAAACGTGATGTCTTTACCATTTCGATCGTTTATTTCCCTTACTTATGCAGTAATATAACTTTATCACCTGCATACGGAGTTTATATATCTCGGTTGATTCGACACATAAGAGCATTCTCTACATTTGAACAATTTCTAAGGCGAGGTAAATTATTAACAAACAGGTTGATGAAACAAGGGTATCAATAGTCTCGGTAATGTCACCATTTAGTTAGTTTTATGGTCTATACAATGATTTTGTCAGCAAACACAATTTATCATTAAGTCAAATACTGTCTGATATTTTTCATGCTAATTGTTAGTCTATTATTTATGAAATGAATTGACGACGACGACGATTTTTTTTATCAATTCCCCATCATGATAAGGAGCACATTATGTGTGACCGGTCAGCGGTGATGCTCACTTCTCCATGGCACCTGATCCCAACTTTTATGTTATGGAGGTTCGTGTTTGGTATGTACTTATTTTGTATTGTTTCATAGACCTTTCACCTTGAAAACTGTTTACTATACAGTGATTCCTTAACTAATTTCGCCAATTCTAATGAAAGCTATTGTGTATTTTTTCTGTTCATATAAGATATGAAATATCTCCATATTTATAATCAAGTTGCTCAACAGAGTAGTTTTATATGTACATAATGATGATAGTAGAAAAACATGCAGAGAGAGTGAACGTAAAGAATACACAAATGTAAATAATACTATACATCAATTTCATTTTATCTTAGCATTGTAAAAATTGCCCATATTTAAAAGATCATAAATGAGTAGTATTAGAACTTCACAACAGAATTAAGTTTGACACTGTATTTAGTATTCTTGTTTAAAATAATATGTGAAAACATCATAGCTTTTCAACTTTCCTATGTTTTAAACTAATTGATTACAGATTTTCTATCTGTTGCAAATATATCATCATTTATTGATTATCAATGCTTTTAAATTCTTTTTGTTCGGCAAAAAAGTAAAGATTAACTTTTGAATGTTTAGGACAATCGATGCGTTGTATTTTTGAGAAACAACCCTAAACGCATTCACTGATATTTCTTTAACCCCCTTCCCCGCAGTCACGCATTTTAACGCATGTACCATTTCCTATTTCTAACGCAAAATCACGAATACACCGCTTCCCCGCAATCACGCACTTAAAAATGTTCATTTAATCCTTACTTTAATGACTATTGACTTTTCTTTCATACTTGTAAAAATCTCATCAAATAAGTAAAATTATTTTTGTATTGAAATATAGCGTCATAATATTATTTACGCTAAACTTTAGAGAAACGTGTACTACACTAAAAGGTGCTTGGGGGAAATGTTTCAATAACGCAAACATTCAGTGTATGTTGCATTACAATTCAGTAAGTTGTAAAGTGTTAATCTATTTGGTGCGGCATCTTTTTCTCTTGGTTTGAATTCTATCGATATTTGAGTAGAGTAAAAAGTGTACTTACCTTCTTTTTCAAAAGTGATTTTATATCCGTATATTTCTATTGCATCAACTTTATACTCTGCTAGTTTAAGCATTTCGTTTGCCGTTTTACTTAAAAGTGATTGCGCCAGTTTCTTTTCAACTTCTAAAACGACATTGAAACTGTTTTCCCGAAGGATGCCAACGACTTTTATAAATTTAGGATCACATTCTACAATGGCCGCTACGGTTTCAATCAAGGAATCCAACTTTGTGAAGTTTTCTATGTCATCCATCACATGTAGCTTGACAAGTGTACATCCATCTTATAAAACAAATAAATATTGATAAAAATATATTACAAAATTATAAATAATTATAGGACATTAGATTTAGGTGTTATTTGGCAACACGCTCACAATGTCAAGGTGTAAAGATTTCGGAACTCAGAAGTTTTTGATAAACCTGATGATTTTAACTTTTCAGTCATCAACTTCCCTCACGTATGCATTAATTATATTACCTCCTTTGTACTTTTCTTCATATTCTTCATATAATATTTTTTTTTAATCCATAGATTTCAAATTGCCCAACTCCTGAGCATATCTTCTGTGATTGTAACTAGGCCCATCTTCCAAAAATTACAATATTGGCACTTTTTATGTTAAGAACAGATGATACAAATATTTTTGTTCTTTTGGGGATACTTAAAATCATGTCAAAAGTTCGGAAAAGTAGATAATTCTTAGAATTTATTCTCCAAAGAACTGGCCAATGAAATGGAATTTGAAAATGTTAGTAATATTTCAATGAAAAAAACAAATATAGACAAATCACACTCAGTTTAGGTTTACAGATGAAAACAAATTTTAGAATATGTTATTTTGGCATTAAAATGCGATATAAACTTTAGAAAAATGTACCAAGCCGGGTGAATATTATGAAGACAAACATAATGACAAGAATTCAACAATACCATATAGGCTAATATTTACAATTTTATTTTTCCTGATGAAATTCACCTGTCTTGGTACATGTATATTTGATATTACACTTTAAGAATCAATTTAGCACATTCTATTTTTTTTTTATCTGTTAACCTTTACTGCGTGTGTTTCGTCAATATTTCTAATTTTATTGAAAAATTACAAAGTCTATTTAATTTTCCAGTCTTTTTTAAGGAAAAAGTCTAAGAAATATCCACTTTTCTTAACAGGTCTCCTCTAAAGACGAAAATTGTTTGTATCATCTATCCTTAAAGACGAGTCATACGAGGGACGTTAACGTTCAATAAATAATGTCATCAGCTCGATAACATTAAACAAATACTTTCACTGTCATATCTAATTATTGAATCCTTAATGAGTTGATATTATAACATAGAGCCATCGTGACAAGCCGGAAAACAAGGGCTACTCGAGATACTGCAATTAAAATGAATAATCAAGAATCAGTAAAGTACACTGAAATCCTTCCTGGCGATAAGGATAACAAATTATCACTGAATATGTTTGATTGACTTTAAACCAAATATCAAATATTTGATAGAAATCATTTTGTAGTTCATACAATTTTAAATAAACATTTTGATAGTAAAAAACAGTTAAATATTCATTGGTTACCAAATGTTTTGAAAAATGAGTGAAAACGACAGCGTGTAGGAATAACTTAACAATTACTGTAAAGATATATAACAAATTCACTTTTCCACTTGTTTGTCTGAAATTTAAACAGATAATTAAAATGGAATTCATTTTGCTTTAAACCTTTAAATCTTAGCTATAAGGCCCCATTCATGACTTCGACTTTTGATTGCAATGAACCCCAGAGCAATAAAAAACTTCATATTTTAATCATGTACTCTCCATAAGCACAAAAAAACATTGATAACGTCATGGCTTCAATTTTCCTGCGATTTACTTTACTATTTTGTCTTGTTATAAATTACTCAAAAAATATGGCGGAGAAAGTTCCTCGGAGATAAGGAGAACGTTTAAGGATTACAGAGAATATTTGGAGATTTTCATTTTTTACCTGCGATATGGAATTGATTTAAGGAGTGAGGTAGGATTCGAATTCCTGAAAATATTAAAACTTCTGGTCTTGAGATGAATTCTGGATCCAATTATTCCCTTTGAGACACTTTTAATCAATAAATAAAAAAATTGCTTTATAGTTTCAATTTTTAAAAATGTTAAATTTCAAAACCTTTATATTACAAATACATGTATTCCCACTTAAAGGAAAACAATATGGTTACTAAAAATGTGAAATATTGGAAATATTTTCTTGTAATTTTTCGGTTAAATTAAAAAAAGGCCATAGGAAATTTCCTAAATTTAGTTTTTTTTAATATTTCTGGAAATATAGTAATGATCCCTTTCCCCTCCCTCCTATAGAAACTGTTTTTTTTTTTTTCAATATTCTTTGTGGCATATGAAATATTTCATTATTGTTTATTATTACACAACAACATCGCCACTTTTCCTAAGTATTAAGAATAAAATTATTTATTTTTGTGTAAAATGTTATTAAAATATATAAGTCGAAAATTATACAGAAAATATTAACCTCAAATCTGTGTCCATGCATGGTAAACTTCAGGGCTCTTGTTAAAATTTTTGAATATGAATGTTTCTCAAGGATGCATGAAGAAGGATATGGAAATAACGAACAGTATTCAATCTCTGCGTCCATTAAACAAATATACAAAACAGGAGCAGAGCAAACACGGACCCCCGAAACATCTGCTGACATTTGCTGACAAGGTCATTGTATCGACCATAGAATTTACGAAATGTTGACTTCAAAAGTATGAAGCAAAGGTGTACCTGGTCTCCAAAAACCACATAGATATTGTCAATCAGAAACTCAAGCATTTTCTTGATGTCAACTTCAGAGTACTTATGTGTGCAATCAGAATCTGTTTTACCAAAAAAAATTTCAAATGACCAATGACGAGGTAAGTAAACTTACGAGTTCCATTTTTGTTGAAGAAGCAGCTGTCAATGATATTCAAAAAGCCTGGATTTTAATTTGTCGTGGGGAATTGTTGTTTATAAAGTTGAAATGTCGTAGGTTTTTATGTTGTTGATTTTTGTAAAGTCTTGTGATTTCAAATTGTCCAAAAGTTCTTTAGAATTTTTAAGTATCCACATCTGATTTACACCACTTCTTGAAAATATAGTTGTACAGTACTCTTGAAGTTTTTCCTTCACTACAGTCAATATTTTATTGAGAAGTAACGAAAGAGGCTTGGTTGAACATTTACTGGAACCTGCAATGTATCTTTGTTTGTAAGGATTCTTATGAAGGTTCGGAATCCAATATATATAAGGTAGTTCAAATTCATTTTGGCTCTGTGGAATATTAAAAGTATTCAATACTGACAGGTGATTCTGAAGAATTTCTTCCTTAGAAAAAGAAGTATATGTAGGATTACCACTTGTAGAATTAAATCCAAGTTCTTCTAGAATGCAATTTATATATTGAGCCTTACAAACGAAGACAATGTTCTTACCTGCTTTGTCGGCAGGAACCAGTACGTACTGATCGTGTAATCTATCTAATTCTTTTTTCACTTCTGGTTTATTGAACACAGAAGGATAGATGGTTTTCACTTTGCCCCTCAATCTTTTAATACGTGACTTTAACATATAAATACTTAATTTCGATTGCTATTATAAGTATTCTGAAGTTGAAATCAAGAAGATGCTTGAGTTTCTGATTGACAATATCTATGTGGTTTTTGGAGACCAGGTATTCCAACAATCTATTGGAATTCCCATGGGTACAAATTGCGCTCTGTTATTAGCAGACTTATTTTTTATATTCATATGAAGCAGAATTTATGCAAAATCTTTTACGTGAAAAGAAGAAAACACTTTCTGTGGCCTTCAACTCGACATTTAGATATATCGACGACGCATTATCAATTTATAATGATAATTTCCATTCCTACGTCCACACGATATATTCTGGTGAGCTTGAGACAAAAGATACCACAGAGTCCGACACCTCTGCTTCATACTTGGATATTTTACTTGAAAAAGACACTAATGGTAATCTAACAACCAAGCTATATGATAAACGTGATGACTTACTTTTCTATTGTCAACTTCCCTTACCTATGCAGCAATATACCTTCATCACCTGCATACGGAGTATTTATATCTCAGTTGATTCGATACGCAAGAGCATGCTCTACGTATGAACAATTTCTTAAACGAGGTAAATTATTGACAAGCAAGTTGATGAAACAAGAATATCAACAGTCTCGTTTAAAGTCATAATTTCCTAAATTCTATGGTCGATACAATGACCGTGTCAGCAAATACAATTTATCATTGAATGAAATGCTGACTGTCGTTTTTCAAATCAATTGTTAGTCCATTATTTATACACTGAATTGACTACGGATTTTTTCCGTTATTTCCTGATTATGACAACGAGCACAGGGCAGGTGTGACAGGTCGGCAGGGGATGCTCACTCCTCCATGGTACCTGATCCCACCTCTGATGTTTCGGAGGTCCGTGTTTGCTCTGCTCTTATTTTGTATTGTTTAATGGACGTTGAGATTGAATACTGTTCGTTATTCCCATATCCTTCTATTACAGTAGAGTATTTACCAGTGTGGTTTTCTTCTTGAAAATAACACAATCTCTCCTTCCTACTGGTGGCGTAATCTATGCATTTCTTTTCAAGATCTGGTCGCTCTATAACCCTCATTAAGTACTGCATTGTTATCACATCTCGGTCCGTGAAAACCTTCTTATATTTCAGTACATTTACGAATTCTGTAACACTCTTTCCACTGTTAAGAGATTCTATATCCAATGAACCCATCTCTGAAAAAACAATTAGCGTCTTACTGTAGTTTGAACTGATTTTTGCTTCATGATTAACTGAAGAAGCAAAGGGTATGTAGCAATCAATAGATCATAAGGTTGTGTTACCTTTTAACGTGTCTTTGAGAATTGTCATTTCCTGTTCTGAAATTCCTTTTATTAAGGCGCGTCGTAAATTGTTAAATCTTATTTTAGCACCACTGTCCTTATATATGACCAAATTGGCACCTAAAGATGAATAATACAAAGTATGTACACCTGAAGCCGAATAAACAAGAATTGAGTGTATTAGAGGACTTATTATGTCAGATGGTAGGAGGCCCTCTTATACTTAATAAATAATAGAGTATATTGTATGTAGATCTATAGAATGTGTTCCAATGTAATTAGATCCTATATTATTTTCAAGTGAGGAACACATTTTATGTAAATGAAAACATGTGTAAAACCAAAATCATCCCTTATTGTATTACTTGTATCAACTGTAAAGAGGAATACATCGGTCAAATCGGAAACCAATTAACCGCGTGTTGGGTGTATCTCTTTTATGAGGTCATAGATGGGCTCTTTATCAACTTCACAAAATGCATATTGACCAAAGTTGATATTCATCTGTGGATTGACCGAATAGAAGGGATACATTCGATATATTCTATTTTAAACAGACATTAACAAAACCAAATTTGAAAGTGATATGAACTAGCCAAAAGTATTCTTATTCACTATTTTAAAAGGACGTAAGGATAGAACATTAATAACAAGAGGCCCAAGGGCCTTGAATCGCTCTTCTGATAAATTGTACAACATATCACTTGTATTTGAAGCATCTAACCCTAAGTATCCTAAGACCAAAGTTGCACCACCTGACTAAGTTTGATGATTCATAGCCAATAAGGACTAATTCTTGGTGAGGTCTACATTCTTGGAAAACCAAAAATGCATCAACTTACACAATTTGATTATTCTAAGCCAATAAATACCTAAGATACTTAAGTATAGCCATAAATGTCGAAAGTAGGTCACTTTGACCCACTTTTTGGTCGTAATTCTCCGAAAAACCAAGATGCATCAACTGACAAAGTTTGATGATTCTAAGCCAATAAGTACCAGAGAATATCCATAAAATGTTGAAAGTAGCCATAAAATGTTGAAAGTAGGTCACCATGACCTACATTTTACTCGACATTTTTTAGAGTCTAAAGATGCATCTGCTGACTAAGTTTGATGATTCTAAGCCAATAAATACCTAAGATACTTAAATATAGCACTAAAATGTCAAAAGTAGGTCACCATGACCTAATTTTTGATCGTCACTCTCTGAAAACCCAAGATGCATTAACTCACAAAGTTTGATGATTCTAAGCCAATAAATACCGGAAATACTTAAATATAGCCCTAAAATGTCAAAAGTAGGTCACCATGACCTAATTTTTGATCGTCACTCTCTGAAAACCCAAGATGCATTAACTCACAAAGTCTGATGATTCTAAGCCAATAAATACCGGAAATACTTTAATATAGCCATAAAATGTCAAAAGTAGGTCACCATGACCTAATTTTTGGTCGTCACTCTCCGGAAACTCAAGATGCATTTCCTGACAAAATTTAATGATTCTAAACCAATAAGTACCAGAGATACTTAAATTTAGCCATAAAATGTCGAAAGTAGGTCACTGTGACCTAATTTTTGATCGTCACTCTCTGAAAACCCAAGATGCATCAACTCACAAAGTTTGATGATTCTAAGCCAATAAATACCTAAGATACTTAAATATAGCCATAAAATGTCCAACGTAGGTCACCATGACTTAATTTTTGGTCGTCACTCTCCTAAAACCCAAGATGCATCAACTCAGAAAGTTTGATGATTCTAAACCAATAAATACCCAAGATACTTAAATATAGCCCTAAAATGTGGAAAGTAGGTCACCGTGACCTACACTTTAGTTGACATTTTACAGAGTCCCAAGATGCATCTACTGACCAAGTTTGATGATTGTAGGTCTGAAGGTAATCAAAAAATGCCTTTTAAACAATTTGAAAACATATGCCTGCAAAATTCTAAAAGTAGGTCACAGTGACCTACTTTTTCTTAAACATGTTTTAAAGTCCCAAGATGCAGCAAATTACAAGATTTGATGATTCTAACCCTTTCAGTGCCTGAAATAATAGGAATAAATGTTTTAAAAAGGTTAAGTCATAAAGTTCAAAAAGTAGGTCACGGTGACCTACTTTTAGGTTGACGTTGTTCAAGGACCCAAGATGCATCAACTGACTAAGTTTCATGATCATAGGCCTTAAAGTAAGCAAAATATGCCTTCAAATCAATTTGAAAACAAATGCCCGAAAAATTAAAAAAGTAGGTCACCGTGTCCTACTTTTGAATTAACATGATGTGAAGTCCTAAGATGCATCTTCTTACAAGATTTGATGATCCTAGCCCTTATAGTAAGCAAAATATAATCTTCAACAGATCCTGATCCTTGTATGTAAGTTTGGTGAAAATCTGCCTGGCGGTTCTGGAGAAGAAGATATTTATAGCAACTAGTACTTTTGGTTTTGTTTTCCTGATTATCTCCCCTTGTTTTAGGGTCCCAACCCTTATTTTAGTATAAATGGTAGCCTTTGGGCCAAGGATACCCTGTGGCAAATTTGGTACTGATTGGCCAAAGGGTTCTTGAGTTATGGCCAATATTCTAAAAAGTTAACGCACGCCGCACACCGCACAAATGGCCATAGCATTAGCTCTTTGAGCCTTTGGCTCAGAAGAGCTAAAAACTTGTTATCATAATTGTGCTTTCTTTTTCTGATAGAGTGTAATATTTCAAAACTATATTTGTTTCATTGAACCAGTAATTTTTGTAAATCATTTCGAATATATTTAATATAAATTAGAATTTTACATTTAAGCACTAATTAAAGATTGATTGATTATATACTGTTTAACGTCCCTCTCTAGAATATTTCACTGATATGGAGACGTCACCATTGCCAGTGAAGGGCTGCAAATTTAAGCCTATGCTCGGCACTCAGGGCCTTTGGGCAGGGAGGGATCTTTATCGTGCAACACCTGTTTTGACACGGGGCCTCGGTTTATACGGTCTCATCCGAAGGACCGCCTCCTTTAGTCTTTTACGACAAGCAAGGGGGGTACTGAGGACCTATTCTAACCCGAATCCTCACGGGGCCACTAATTTAAGAAAAAATGTTCATGTACATAAAAGATTTGTTAGTAAATGATTGATAAGATAATAATTTAGTTGTTGTATAACCTGGGTCATCTACGTCACCTTGTCTAACGTTAAAAATGTATATATCCGCTTGACGTTAAAGAACTTTATTCGGTAATAACCGATATTTGCCCCCAAACCAAACTTTGATGGAGAATTATTTAATTATGTTCTTAAACGGGGGGGGGGGGGAGGATACTGACTTTAACGCACTGAATATTTTCATACGTAATGACGTCATATGTACGAAATGACGTCACAAACATGACATACATAAATTTCAGGGTTTTTTAAATTCTACAGAAAAATGTTCATATTTCGTCGATATTTTGAGTAAAAGTCACCGAGCGCATGTTTGTTCAGGATCAATATTTTTACATAATGTGTAGAATGATAATATCAATGAAATATGTAAATGTTGTTCCTGAACAAACTTCCGCTCTATAAATTTTAAAGCTTAACTTGTTTTTTAAAGCTTTCTTTTCTTAACTCTTTGTATAAACCGCTTCGTGATTCGCAATTGCTTTAAGAAAAAATTGTGCTACTCTAATAGCAAAACTAAACATATCTCTGTGTTCTAAAAGCGTGACAAATATCCCTCTTGTGAAATAAATTTCATAAAACTTCATGTACACACTGAATAGACTCTTTTACTTACCATCTAAAAGTTCATCATTGTTTTCTTCTGTTAATTGTTCTCCTGTCAGAACATCTACGAAAAGCATTACCAATTCTTAAGATTCGTAGGAAAATTTTAATTGTTAACACACTAAAAATTCAATATCTTATTATTCTCTATCTAAATGTTTTATCTTCTTTTACATGCATGTAAAATGATGTATATTCACTATGCATTGTGGAAGTTTTCGCATGTTTTCCTGGCTTTGTTGTTTTATTTCTTTGAAGAGGGCAAACATTGGTTTAAACTTAAATACCCCTGGTATGAGCAAACAGATGAATGATGCTGATTGATATTATAAATAGTAAAAAGATCTTTGCAACTTTACATCATAATTGGATAAACAATACACAATACGTACATTCAATGCCCGAATCATATCTTAACCTTTCCCAAAGCATAGAAACATACAAAATGTTGGTTTTAATACGTGTTAGCATTCGGTGGCTACACCACAGAATATTTTTACATACCTTGAGTCGTAACAACTTTGATACCAATAAAATTAGTAACTTCCACGCTATATGTTTCCAAGTACTTGGAGTTGTTGAAGTTTTTAACAATGAGCAGTGGGTTTGGAAGAGAGATTGTGGTTCCCCTATAGGTTTCTTCGTGTAAATTTATCGGTTGGAATGTATCATGAGGAGTTATTTGTGCTTTCCATTGAACTTTAAATGCATCTGGGATTGACTTGATGGAAGCTTGCAACATTAGAACTCCATTTTCAACGTCTTTTTCCTTAATTAATAGTTTAACATTTGGTAAAGCTGAAATTAAAATAAGAAATAAACTGTGAAAATCTTCTACCTGATGATGTTTCAGTATTTTTATGATTAATATTTTTAAAAATGTTGATTATGAGAAAACATTTGTAAAAACCAAATCTGTATCTATCTGTAAATCAATTTTTTACCCTACATATTAATTTCAAACACAAAAAACAGACGACTTCGAAAACTTCGAAAAACCTCTCAATATTTACCTATAGTAACTTTTTCGCTTTGGGTTGTTCCAACGATATTGGACGCACAACACTGATATATGCCAGCATCAGAAGCATTTACGTTTTTGATTTCAAGCGATGGGTTGTCAGGTCCACCTCCTGTATATTTTCCTTCACCACATGAAATATCTATTTTATTGTTATCTTTTGTCCACATTATTCCTGTCAGAGGATGAGAGCTATCACTAAGAACTTTACAAATCAAGGTTACGCTTTGGTTTTGAAAATCAGTATCGTGTATCATGAAGACATTCGGGGGAGCTGTTTAAAAAGAATAAGAACCATTTTACATCAAAAAACAATGTTGCAAATCAAGGAAATGAATTATTTATTATATGGAGAAACAACCACTTCTAGTGTCAAACATTGTTTCTATATATAACAACATATTATCTGGGTTTTTTCATAACTGCTTAGAAATTGTTTAACCGTATCATTGAAGAACAAGAGGCCCAGGGGCTACATCGCTCGCATGAACAATTAGTTAGGATAAAGCACATATCAGATCAGAACTGAAAATTTACTGAGGTTGGGGGGGGGGCTTGAATTTTAGCCCCCCCCCCCAGGGGATCATGATTTGAACAAACTAGAATCTACACTACCTGGGGATGATTCCCAATAAATATCACTTAGTAATTGAAAAGATTTTTTCCTAAATATTCCTACCTGAGGATGATTCCACATGAGTTTCATTTTGCCTGGCCCAGTGGTTCTTGAGAAGAAGATTTTTAAAGATTGTTTCAATAAATTCCTATGTAAAACTTTAATCGGCCATTTTGGACCCACCCAACCCCTTAAAGGTCATAATGTGACGATTCGTGAATCTACACTACCTGAGGATGATTTCACATGAGTTTCATCTTTCCTGGCCCAGTGGTTCTTGAGAAGAAGATTTTTAAAGATTGTTCCTACACATTCCTATGTAAAACTTTGATTGGCCATTTTGGCCCCATCCAACCTCCTGGGGTCATGATTCGTACAAATTTGAATCTACACTCCCTGAGGATGATTCCACATAAGTTTCGTCTTTCCTGGCCCATTGGTTCTTGAGGAGAAGATTTTTAAAGATTGTTCCTATACATTCCTATGTAAAACTTTGATCGGCCATTTTGGCCCCACCCAACCCCCTAAAGGTCATGATTTGAAGAAACTTGAATCTACACTACCTGAGGATGATTCCACATGAGTTTCATCTTTCCTGGCCCAGTGGTTCTTGAGAAGGATATTTTTTTAAATGCCATTATTTTTTCTCTAATTCATAATTATCTCCCCTTGGAAAAGTGCGTGGCCCTTCTTTTGAACAAACTTGAATCCCCTTCACCCAAGGATACTTTGTAGCAAGTTTGGTTGGTTGAAATCGGCCCAGTGGTTCTTGAGAAGAAGATGAAAATGTGAAAAGTTTAGGACAACGACAACGACGACAACAACGATGACAACGACAGACGACGGACAAATTTTGATCAGTAAAGCTCACTTGAGCCTTTGGCTCAGGTGAGCTAAAATCATTTAGTAAAAACTTACACCCAGTAACATGTAGAAATGTACAGCTACTGGATCTTCCAACCTTATTTACTACTACAAGTCGAAAGAAAAGATTATCATCAAATGTCGTTTCATTTATGATTAACTTCGGATGTTTAGGATCCAGTGTGCTTCTGGAATATTTGGGGCTAGTTACATCAATGATTTCAAATTCCTCTGCGTTCGGATCCATACGTCTGCTCTTTTGCCATTCTATGGCCTCAATATCTGGAAAGGCCTGTATCATGGGTTGAAGAACAGCTGTTGACCCAAAAGGAACTTCTACTTCCTGTGGCATGGTAATTGTTGGAATTTCTGAAATAGTTCGACAAATATAATCATACTGATACTTTTTAAGCTTAATTTTAAAAAAAAAACTTACATAGTAAATTTCTTTTCTATCAGTGATTAAAAATGTTAAAATTTCACTTCCTTTTCTGATTTTTTTTAATGAGAAACTTAGTAGTGGACTACAAAACAGTCCGTTTAAACTAGGTAACTACAATCCTGTAAGCATTTTACTAGCCATTCAAAGACTTTTGAAAGGGCAATATATACACAGAGCTGTAAAAGTCTGTGACTTTAAAAGACTTAGACTTACAAGTCTCCTTCCCTATTTAGTATTTATCAGCATTAAGGCCAGGTTATGGATGTAATACTGTGTTAACGGAAATCATTAAAGACTGGAAAAAAACATTGATGATAACAAGTATATTGCTGCTGTGTTTATGAATATCTCAAAGGCTTTTGATTGCTTACCGTATGACCTGCTAATGTTGAAAATGAAAATGTATGGCCTCTCCGATTCTAATCTAAAACTTGTACAAAGTTATCTGTCAGATAGGGGAATGTGTAAAAGAAGATAATATTTTGAGCACGTTTAAAGATATATGTAAGGGTGTACCCCAAGGTTCTATATTAGGTCCTGTTATATTAAACATATTTTTAAATTACATTTTTAGTTTTGTTGAGGTATGTTATATAATTTTGTTGATGACAACTCACTGTCTCATTCAAATTATGACTTAAGCAAAGGTATCACAGTTTTAGAAAAAGAAAGCTTAAATTTAATAAATTGATTCTCAAATAACCATATGAAAGAAAGCTAATCAGAAAAATTTCAGACACACTCGATAGGAAACAAAACCTGTAAAGAAAACATCACTTTCATCTTGAATGGTATAAATATAAAATGTGAGGAAGAAGTTAAACTTCTGGGTGTAACTATTTAAATTTGATAAACATATTTCAATCATATGCAAAAAAGCAGCTAGACAACTTAATGAATTAAAATGCATATGTAAACACCTGACTAAACTTGGAAAACTGACCATCTACTATTCCTTTATTATGAGTAATTTTAATAACTGTCCTGTTGTTTAGCACTTCTGTGGAGAAAATAATACAAGAAACATTGAAAAAAAATCCAAGAAAGGGCTCTCAGATTTATTTATGATGATAGGAACAGTACTTATGAGGAAATATTACTGAAATCAGGCTTACCAACTTTAAACATTAGAAGATTAAGAACAATGGCTTTAGAATTTTTTAAAATTTAAAAGAATGATAGTCGTGCATATTTATCTGATTTATAAATTTCTAAAGAAAACTCATATAATTTTACGAAAACAAATATATATGGCACGGGTGCCAAGGGTTAGAATTAACAACAAAACATGGACTACACTCTTTAAGATATGCAGGGGCCAAACTATGGAATGGAATCCCTGAAACCATTAGAACTGAAACTACAATAACTCAGATTAAAAGTTTTATTAACAATTGGAATGGAGACTCCTGTAAGGATGGCTCCTGCTTAATCATTCAGATCTTGATCCTCAATTTTTTGGTCGATTTTTTAGTTCCTTTTTATCTGTCTATTTATTTTGGTATTGTTCTTCTGTTTTAAGTTTATTTTGTTTTGTTTGCTTTATAAGTGAGTAAATTTATTTACCATAAATTTATAGCTATTTTTTTTTATCAAAATATATGAAATAATTTTTATCAAAATATATAAATCATAGACCTTCTTTTAGAGCATAAGTGCTATTTGGACATTCAGTTATATTTATATTCCGTGTTTGTCTTATTTATTGCATGATACATGTGCTTTCTGAGTCCTTTTGTTTGTTATGTGTAAATATGCTTGTTGTGGTGCATGAAATGTGATCCTGTCTTATATGTGAAATCTTAAATGTTTTATATGTGTATATATAGTCATATTTGTAGTACTAATATAATGCCGGTCAAAAGCTCTATAGAGCCTATGTTTATGTTATAAAAAATCCGACACAAAATAAAATTTTCAGATTTTTTTCAATGATATATTGGAATATGTGAGACATATTCTAGTTTTCCTTAAATTCATCTTATCCCCAAAGAATACTATCGTTTCAAAGCTTAAGTATCCATTTTTTCCCTTATACGTGAAATAATCATATTCTCAATGCACTTCTCTCATAAGCAATAATACATAAAGTTAAGGGTTTCATGATTAGGTTACAAAGATTACAACGTGTTTAACGTTATCTGTACCTCCAATCACTGTCAGTCGCTTGCAATTGCTAGGTACTTTTATGTGTGTCCCGTTGTTCTCTCTAGAAATGACGGCTCTGTATTCCCCCTCATCTTCCTTTGATACGTCTGCTATCACTAAACATCTACTGGAACTGCCCCTGTACTTCTGTCTATTAGTATCGAGTTGTTCTGTTATATTTCCCTGTATTTTCTCCCACGTGATTGGCCAGTTATTGGAGGGTGAACATCGGTCTAATATAGCCTGAAAGCAGGTTTTTTCGCCAAAGAAAACCTCATCATTTCCATGTATCGTTATTGAAGGACCACCTGTTTATGTAATCAAAGCTAGTATAAAGATTGTAGAATTAAGTAGAGAATATTGAGTAATACAACGTAGTATTTATATCATACTTACAATTATTACCATTCTCTTTTAAAATATGCAGAATTCCTTCTAAAATAATTTTATACTTTTCCATATCCTCGAAACCAAAGTCACTCTTCGCAATGATTGCAAGTTTCTTACTGTAGTCAACTGAGATTCCTTTTGAGATAAGAAAAATTTGCATTCTCTGAAATACCTGTTCTAAATCCCGCCATTTCGCTGTAAAAACGACATCGTCCACACTAGACGAGTCCAAGTGTGCAAACATCTCGTTTCTAAACTCTCTAAGACGTTCGATGTCATCTCCGACTTGAATATCTGTTATAGACGGTGTTTTACCCCAACCCTGAGTTGGCTTTAATTGTGGACATAGGTTTCGTATAAGTGTGTATAACAAAGAAACATCAAATTTGTTGTAGTCAGGTACAGCAGGAGGGGAGGGGCAACAAAGTTTCAAATGATTTGGCCTCAATTTGTGTCTCCCGGTCGTCAATTCTGAACACGAAGTTATGGATTTGGGCATGTCTTTGGGTTTAATCTCACATCTTAAAATGTCCGCTAAAACGACCTTTATTTCATCCACACTTGCTATTCCCATACGAGTAAAGTTCAATTGATCACCTGCCAGAATGTTTGATGCCATTGTTAAAATAAGAAAATTTTACACTATATCTTCATTATCTTTTCTTCTTCCTAAATTTTTTTTCCCTCCTCCATTATTTACTACTGAATGGAAAATGTCCCTAAAATATTTTAAAATATACATGTACATGAATGCATAAATTAGTTCCAATGGTTTGGTATATTCTTTTTTCTCTGTTTTGCAATTCCTTTTGATTATATACAGGATTTGTTTTAGATTTTTCATATTTTGTAATCTCTACCTCAACATGTGGTATGATTATTTATCAATTAAAAAAGAACTAGGCTCAAGGACCATGATGATGACCTATAGAGATCCTGGGTTTTCTCAGTTACTTAATCCCGCCTGGTCACAATTGCTCCAATCTGGACCCAGGAGCCAAGGAATTTATACATTCTGACAATGAAATAAATACCCTTGTAATTAGATAAATACTATGTCTGATAGACAAACATGTGTAAACAAGCATTCTGAGAGTATTCTGGGAGTATTGCATAAGCAATACATGGTCCCCTACTGGGTTCCCCTTTTTTCTTCAGGATGTCATTTTTTAATGTGCAAAAGTCATGTTCAAGGTTAAACTGAGGGATTTTCAAGTTGTAAATACCTTAAATCTAATAAAATAATAAACATTAAGACGACAATTCAACTCATTTATCCATCGTCTTTTCTTCGTTTCATATTTTTGTCGACAATCGGAAGTTAGCGCAGTTCGAACCCGATCTTAATTAAGTGATTATGAAAAATATTCAAAATGCCATAATTCTGTCAAAAATCAATGAAGCGAAACGAAATTCAAACTTGATCTGTAACTCATTGAGATACACTCACGTACCAAAATTCCGCTCAATATCTACAAGCGTTTAGAAAAAAAGTGCGGAAAACCAAGTGGGAATGGAAAATATTTAAAATACCATAATTCTGTCAAAAATCAATGAAGCAAAACGAAATTCAAACTTGATCTGTAACTCATTAAGATACACTCACGTACTAAAATTCAGCTCAATATCTGAAGGCGTTTAGAAAAAAAATGCGGAAAACCAAGTGGGACAGACAGAAGGATGGACGGACGGACGGACGCAGAGGAAACCTATAGTCCCCTCCGGTTTCACCGGTAGGGGACTAATAACTAAATATGATTTTCAAAATATAATGTATTTTCATTGGCTAAAATCAGTATGCAAATACCTTACCCCTCTGGCACAGCTGCTTTTAAAAAAATTTATTCATTTCTATTCGTTAATCCAGCCCCTTACCATGGGCCTAAGGGGGAGAAGGCCATATTTTAATTCAAAATTTACCAAAATGTGTCCAATCGTTGTAGAGAAAAAAACTTTCTTTTAAAGTTAGTGACAGACGGAAAAAAAATGAACAATAATAAATCCAAGAGGTTGTGTTAACAGATATATTATTTGAACTTTTTAAACTTAAACAATATTACTATAATAATCATTTTTAGCTATTAGTAGTAAAAGTAAAATGAAATAAAAGTTTAATTAATTAATCAGAATGTTTATTATTAGTGCCTCAAATTCAGTGAATTTATAATTGGAAAAGGACTTTAAAGCCATATATGGCGTATACATGTACAATGAAAATTATTCGACTAAAATTATAAGAACTTATTATTTGTATGATTACTTTATATAAAGATAGAACTTTTCCGTAAATTACAAAATCTAAGTCAGTTGCGTTATAAAGATATCACAATTTAATTTGGATTCTCGGAATTTTCTCCGGCTCGGAGGAAAATACATAAGATTTAAAGGCCGGGGCCCGGATATAAAAGACAGCCAATCGAAAAATGTTGGGGAAATTCAACTTTCTATGCAGCTTTCAGATCTGAGAAGCATTTTTGAGAAAATATGCTTTTTATAATCATTTTAAATTCTTATTTTTGGCATGGAAGCAGCCACCTTGATGGTGAATAATGTGCTTGAGATAAAAGATACCACAGAGTCCAACACTTCTGCTTCATACTTGGATATTTTACTTGAAAAAGACACAAATGGTAATCTAACAACCAAGCTATATGATAAACGTGATGACTTTAACTTTTCTATCGTCAACTTCCCTTACTTATGCAGCAATATACCTTCATCACCTGCATACGGAGTATTTATATCTCAGTTGATTCGATACGCAAGAGCATGCTCTACGTATGAACAATTTCTTATACGAGGTAAATTATTGACAAGCAAGTTGATGAAACAAGAATATCAACAGTCTCGTTTAAAGTCATCATTTCGTAAATTCTATGGTCGATACAATGACCTTGTCAGCAAATACAATTCATCATTGAATGAAATGCTGACTGACGTTTTTCATACCAATTGTTAGTCCATTGTTTATACACTGAATTGACTACGGATTTTTTTCCGTTATTTCCTGATTATGACAATGAGCACACGGCGGGTGTGACCGGTCAGCAGGGGATGCTCACTCCTCCATGGCACCTGATCCCACCTCTGATGTTTCGGAGGTCCGTGTTTGCTCTGCTCTTATTTTGTATATTTGTTTAATGGACGTTGAGATTGAATACTGTTCGTTATTTCCATATCCTTATGTGTCCATCTTTCATAGTTGAAAAAAAATTATATCTTGAGAAATTTAGGAATAAAGTTCTGAAGCTGCACTGAATTTTGAATTTCTTCTCAGTGATTGACAAAGTAGGCGGAGATAACCAGTGTTTTGTTTACACAGGAAGTGGCTGTAGCCATGTGTTGCAGCACATGCTCTGTGTGGAATTGTTTTTCATACTATACTATAAATAGTTTTCACTAGTATTTTTTATATAATTTATAAAGAGAAAAATGACAAGAAAACATTTTTATTTTGAACAGAAAGTAAACAGGTTTTGAAAATAAATATACATTAACAGAATAAATTTGTTTTATACAAACCTTAGGTGAACAAGTAATAATTAGCACACTTAATATTTCCAGTATATTCCAGTCATTCGATTATATATAAATAAAAAATTCACAAGTCAAATGAATATTTTTAACATGGGTTTGAGTTCCCAATTACTCCCACATATGTCCCATGTATGGCTGATCAATAAGATTTGGTAGCCAATGTCTTAGCTCACAACACTTTTTGGCATAAGGTCCCTCCTGTGATAAATGTAATTTTTTCTGCGCGGATCCTGTCTTAGGGCATTCTTTTTCCGCTGAATGTATCTCGGATCCTTCCACACATTTCTATGGAACAACATTGTCCAGAATCTTTTGTATTTGTCCTTTCTCCTTTGAGAATTGCTTCTTTTTGGCGGCTCCGGATCCTCTAACCACCATATTTGACGGTTGGTTTCCGATGTTAAGCAAGGACGGCATAGACAGTGAACACATTCGTCTTCTTCATCATTCTGATTTATAATGAAATCAGCAACTTCTTCATTGTTCTGCTCCTCTTGGACCTGGTTTACATTGTCCTCGATTGGAACCTCATTGAAATCCCACTCATGGTGTGCAAAAAGATGGCGTATTGTTTCTCTCTGAGTTTCAGTAACTTCAATTGCTAAAATAAATTTGTCTTCTGTTCTCTCCATGTTGTAGTCAGCAAATACCAAGATGGCTTCTCATTATACTTGGAACACTGGAAAGCCCAATCATTTCAAAAGGACCATACAGGATACATTGAATACTTACACAAAGAAAGAGAAGCACACCACATATTTGTGAATTAAGAGCTGCACAAATGTATCATAATATTTTAGGAGCTCTACATTATCATTATTTTTTAATTAAAATATTTTAAGATAGATAAATTTTAAGAAGAATTTTATTAGATAACCCTAATGTGCCTCTGTAACTCTGCAGCGAAAGGTCAGATTATGTCATTGTCAGATGCTAGATCAGGATTTTGGCGGGGAAGTGCTAACTACAGATAGGATTAGGTGTCAAGTCTGGCCATTTTCATGTGAGGGGTGTCAAGATTGCAGATATGCAGCTTCTTGATTGTAGAAATCTAAAAATTAAATTGTTTTCGAAAATTTATGTTGAAAAAGAAATACAGGCTTTATATAAAGTGTTCATATATGCAATTCAGCATCATTTGTCGAGTTAAAAAAAAATTATATGCATGTTTGTAAACAAACACCCCTTTTTCAAGAATAATAGTATATTCCCAGAATTAGTATCTTGTACATTTGTAAAAACCAAAAAGTTCAAAACAACCACAGCAAATGTATGAAAGTGAATATGTCTAGTCCACCAAAAAAACGAAAGAGAACACCAAGTTTCAGAATTGAATTATCAGGAGATGAAAATAAGAAAATCAGTGTATTGGAAAATTTACAAAAACTAAGGACTGGATTAGAGAGCAAACTGAACAAACATGTTGGTAATCTGCAAGTCATTGAATATCTCTTTTCTCTTTGGACTGAGAAAAGAAATGAGGAACAAATCCAGGGTGATGTCCCACAGTCTGCCCAAGAAAAATCTCCAGCACCTAGTCCTTACATTAAGGTTCAGAAAAAGGATGTGAATCAAAAACTCTTCTTGTGTGCTGAAGATTCTTTGAGGAGACTGGTGGAAATTGCAGAATACCACGGTCAAAATTGTACTGGGAATTTAAAAATGAAGAACAAACATCAGAGAGGGCATGTGATGTCAACCAAATTTCAGCGCGAGGAAGAGGGGTGTAGGCATACTTTTCTGTGGTCTTCATCTCCTTATTTGCCTAACAATGAATATTTGGTAAATAACCGCGTCAACTATTCTTTATTATGCAGCGGGATGCTTCCATCACACTACACTAGATTTGCCGATGGAGCAGGTATTGGAAAAATATCGAAACAGGATCGGCAAAAGTTTTTCAATCAATCAAAGAAACACATTCAAAAGGAGTATGAAGACTCAATCTATACGGCAACTCTGGAGGAAGTGGCATCTTATGAGGACCTTGAGAGTATAGATATAATGACTGATGCACGGCATGGTTGGCGCAAAAATGCTAAAGATTCCAGCGTAGTGGCTATTGGGGACAATACACACAAAGTTTTATCATGTCAACACGTAACGAAATCTGATGATCAAGTGTCACAACGGCATGAAAAACTCGGAACAGAAAGAATATACAGTAAAACTCGGTTATAACGAAGTCACTGGGACCTATGAAATCACTTCGCTATATCCGTAATTCGTTATAAACGTATAATAAATTCATTAAATTTATATAGCTGGGGATTCAAAATGACTTCGCTATATCCGTAAATTCACTATATCCGTGTTCGTACTAAACGAGTTTTACTGTACCAGCATTTGAAAGATCAAAATATTACAGTAGGAATTCATACTCATGACAGGAATCTGTCAATTAATAAATACATTCGTGAGGAATGCGAGTCTACAAATCAAAATGACACCTGGCATGCAGTAAAATCAGTTAAATCTACTTTGAAAAAAATATCTTCTGGACCAGCTTATCTTGAGGGAAAATCCTGGTCATCTCAACTTGATGACAAAGTGGAGCCAGTGTGCACTCACTTTCACTGGGCCATTAGAAACTGTGATGAAGATACCTCAAAACTTCAAACACTTCTATTGAACATAGTAGAACATTACAAAAACAATCACTCAAATTGTCATTCATCCTCCAGGTGCCAAATGGATCCAAAGTATGAAATATCTCGAAAAGTTATTTCTAACCCCTGTGCCGAGAAGTTGTTGCTAGGGGTCATAAAAAATTCTATTGTTTATAAGCATCCACAGGATTACATTTTATGCCACGATACCTTTTATGTTGAAAGCTTCAACAATGTCATGAATGTGTACCAAGATAAAAGAATATCATTTTCTGATGACATGTACAGAGCAAGATCTAATTTGGCTGTATGTCATTGGAATGAAAACGTGGACAGAGAATATACATCTGTTTGGAGACCGAATCACCGTATGCCAAGAAGTGCTAAGGGTAAAAAGAACTACAAAAAAATAACATTAACTTTCTCTTTTAGGAAAAATATTTGGATGCGATATGTGAAGTGTGTGTTCAAAGCTAAAAGAAGAAAGTGATTTTATTGATTTTTTTTAAGAAGACATATGTGCAATTATTCCAATTTAGATGAACTTTGGATGAAACTCCATTACTTTATTAGTTTGAAACTTTTGTGTAAATGTAAATGTAAACAGATATGTATTCTCTGTCCCTTTTTTTTCCAATGACATGTGATTATCTGCAACAACATTATACTGTTTATTAACTGCATAAATGTGTTAATAAGTAAATGTTTTATAATTAATTAAACTTAAATAATTAGACTCGCAGTGCACAGATTTCATTTCTTTATTTATATTTACACACAAAATGGAATGGAATTCCCACTGTCGGTAATTTGTAAACAAAGCTGACTCAGCTCAGTGCAGTTCTTATCAGCAGCACTGACAGTGATGGAGATAAGCGCCGCCTATTTTACCAGGTGGCAAAAAATCTAGGTCTCCCCCGGCATTATAGAGAAGATAAAATTTTATTATTAGGTGAAATGAGGTGTTCTCCATGTTCAGAATTGTATGAAAAGCTTTAATTAAAATGTATTAACTATATTTCTTTACTTAATTTCGTATTTTACATAAATATATTTTTTGATCAGTTACGCCATATATGGCTTTAATTTTATGAACTATATATCATTAATAAAACAGCGATAAATCACCTGAAAAACCTGAAGAGATATAAGTAAATCAAAAGCCTGGGGATTCTTTGTAAATCTATTGTAAATGTACATTGTAAATATGGAAGTACAGTATACATGGTAATGGCGTTCATGTAAACATTCAAAGAAAAAGAAGAAAATTAAAGATTTACAAAAAATATTACTTACCTCCTCATTGATTCCTCATCTTCGCTTCAATTAACTGTCCCTTACCACAAATCTCTACATAATTAATCATAGTAAAACTAAAACTGCAATAAATTTCACATATGTCGTCCTTTGAACATCGTGTTACTAAAATTAACGATAATAAATTACACATGTAAAAGGATCAAACCGAAAGTAGAAATTTAGTACAGCTAAGTATTTCCTTCTTGACCATTCATTTAAGAACTAATATATGTTCCTTCTTCTTATTTTTCTCTTCAAAATAACCATCGCAAAGGAGGTCGCAGCGAGTCCAAACTTCGCATCAAAGTCCTAAGAGTACTGATAAACGTATTGTGAATTGTGAAAATGAATCAAAGTACTGGAAATACTGTTAGAATTATCATTTGATAACTACGATGGCAGATAGCGGCCGTCGATTTACACTAATGTTGTGTAACGTGTACAGCATTTCAAAGAAATTTAGTGACAACTTGCACTTGAAACAAAAAAAGTACAAAGCACAGCGTCATTGCAAAATTCCATTTACACTGTACACAAACTTTTGTGTAAGGTGTAGTCATTGATTAAGTCCGGACTTCGCTTACGACTGTCTTAGGCCTTTTTGAAAAACAAGCCCCTGATGTTTGTGGAGGTCTGCGATTGCCCTCCTTTTGATTTGTTTTGTTCTAACTGTGATTACAGTCTGTTAATCATAATCATATCAACTGATCATCTTTTTGTATATTCTAGCATTTACCACACTCATGCTCAATACTATTTTGAGGATTTTGGTCTTCTTCTTTATAGGACAAACTAATATATATATCAATATATATAATGTATCATATAACATAATTTAAAAAATGCTGTACTTTTAATTTGAAAACTGAATGATAAGCTTTGTTTGCTTTACACTTATAAATAGCTTCAAGATGCTATTTCAATACCTCTGCGGATAGTTTCAAGAACCCAAAAATACTGTACAAGTAGAGCGAGGATTTAATTTTTAGATTATAATTGCGAGGGTCCAGAGAGTGTTAAAACTGGACGTCAGAACTTAAAAATAAATATCAGGAAAAATTAATTCCTAAATAAATTGTAATGTTACCTACATGTACCTTGGAGGGGCATGGCCTCTCGGATGGGCAAAATACATTAACTGTAGTTCTTCATATCTAAGTTCGTAATGAAGAACACTAAACAAACTAAAAAACTAATGCAAGCATAAGCCCTCTGAGCTTTTGAAAAACAAGAGGCCCAGGGGCCACAGCGCTCACCTGAGCACATTGGCTAGGAAAAAGCACATATCAGATCAGAACTGAAAGTTTACTGGGGAGGGGGGGGGGGGGGCTTGAATTTTAACCCCCCAGGGGTTCATGATTTGAACAAACTAGAATCTACCTAAAGATGGTTCCATATTAATATCACTAATCATAGCTTTGAAGTACTTGAAAATAAGATTTTTAAAGGTTTCCTTAAAAATCCCTAGGTAAAACTTGGGTCAGCCTTTTTGGCTCCACCCTAGCCCTGGGGGTCATGATTTGAACAAACTTGAATCTACACCATCTGAGGATGATTCCACATGAGTTTCATCTTTCCTGGCCCAGTGGTTCTTGAGAAAAAGATTTTTAAAGATTTTGCCTATATATTCCTATGTAAAACTTGGGTCGACCATTTTGGCCCCACCCTATCCCCGGGGGTCATGATTTGAACAAACTTGAATCAACACTACCTGAGGATGATTCCACATGAGTTTCATCTTTTTTGGACAGTGGTTCTTGAGAATAAGATTTTTAAAGATTTATCCTATATATTCCTATGTTAAACTTGGGTCAGTCATTTTGGCCCCACCCTTGCCCCGGGGGTCATGATTTGAACAAAATTGAATCTACACTACCTGAGGATGATTCCACATGAGTTTCATCTTTCCTGGCCCAGTGGTTCTTGAGAAGATTTTTAAAGATTTTTCCTATATATTCCAATGTAAAACTTGGGTCGGCCATTTTGGCCCCACCCTAGCTCCAGGGGTCATGATTTGAACAAACTTGAATCTACATTACCTGAGGATGATTCCACATTTTTTTCATTTTTCCTGGCCCAGTGGTTCTTGAGAAGAAGATTTTTTAAAAATGCCATTAATTTTTCTCTAATTCATAATTATCTCCCCTTGGAAAAGGGCGTGGCCCTTCATTTGAACAAACTTGAATCCCCTTATCCAAGGATGTTTTGTGGCAAGTTTGGTTGAAATTGGCCTAGTGGTTCTTGAGAAGAAGTCGAAAATGTGAAAAGTTTACAACAACAACAACGACGATGACGACAACGATGACAACAACGACAACGACGACAGACAACGGACAAATTGTGATCAGAAAAGCTCACTTGAGCCTTTGGCTCAGGTGAGCTAAAAAAACAATTCTATCATCATCCACAAACATTTAATCTCAATTCAATCATATTAAATTCAATCATAAAAAAATACATCAATACTCAGGTCTACATGCAATAGAACACATGGGTTTATGTGCTTTGAAACATAAAATGTGTAACATATGATGCAAGAATAAACTGTAGTCCTTAGTGAAAATGAGAATGTAATTAAACTATACACATAAACTAAACACATTAAAACTGACAACTTTTCTGTAAAAATTAGCTTTGGGTGTATAATCAAAATATGAATAATCTAGTAAACCTGTTGAATTACATGCTTGTTTCTTTAATGTATCAAATCAAACAATTCCTACCTCAGGAAAAGGCAAAGTTTTCTTCTAGAAAAAGCCTAAAATCCTGTTTGATCATGTAAAATTCAATTTATAAAACATTGCATTTATACCAAATCTTTTAGACAACTTTTTTTCTACATTCTCCAAAAATATCAATAACTGTTATGTTAACACTAAGACAAACACTGAATACTGATAAAACTTTTTTTTTAAAATTACAAGCCTAGACAAACTTTATATTAGACAACTTTTTATTATTAAATTCTCAAAAAATTTCAATTACTGATAGTATACAAACTTAGGCAATTACCAATAACTGATAAAAAAACTATTTTAAACTGACAAACCTAGACAAGTTTTCTTTTTTATCAATCAAGATAATTAATGATAAAACACTGCATTTTAGAACTATTACAGTCATTGAAATTACCTATGTTAACATATAAAATTAATGGTGTTTACTGACAAATTTTGAAAAAAGACTGTTAATGTGCAGTGATCTGACAAACTAAGACAATTATTTGTATTGTACAATTCACTGACAACCTCCTACAATTACTGATTATCTATGTACATGGTCAGAAAAAATTATATTTCGCATAATCCTGTACACACCCTAACCAGAACAAGAAGTCCGCCATTTTTAATCTGTCCTCGGCTTTCAGAATGTCAAACGCCTCGGTGTACAAGATTTTCCCCAGGTTACCTGACGTTCCCCTCTCTCCCTTACATATGGAGATGGAATGCTTCAGCGAGATTTTCAGGTAAACAAAGATTAACTACAACAGAAACAAGAGACTTATAAACAACAGGGCTATTTTAGTAAATTTATGCTATATGATACAAACTTTATCTACAACAGATACAAGAGTTATAAATAACAGAACTATTATGTTAGTTTCACACTATAATTACAAGGTAAATTTTGTGCTGACAGAAATCCAATTTAATTGTCTGATCTGACATTAGAGGTCAAAACAGCACCATTGCAAAATCAAGAATGAAGATTCAGCTTCTTCCAATTCAGATCTATTATTTCTATGGGAGGAAATGTGGGCAACAGTTGGAAACTCTGTTTAAATATCACAGGTAAATATGTCTTACATGATATTCATGTAAAATTCAATCTCTTTATTTGAAAATTTTTATTTTCAAAATTGGCAAAAATAATGTAAAACTAAAATTAATATTTTTTTTCATATTACAGGTGACTCTCGATGGCTCGAACTCCGATCTCTCGAAGTTCTCAATCTCTCAATGTGAACCTACGGTCCCGTTTTTTTCCCTCTATATAACTAAGCAAATTTACTCCTGATCTCTCGAACTTCTATCGCTTGAACCAAAACATGGGTCCTGTTACACATATTTCATTGAATTTTACTCTCTACCTCTTGAAGTTTTGATTGCGTGTGTATACAAGCCAATCAAGCGTAAAATTGATGCAGCCTGAATTAACCTGGAAAACAGGGAACACCTGGGGCTTGGCATTGAGGTATTAATTGGGTGTTTACATAGATGACACTTCACCTGTGGGTAGTCCGTGTGTTAATATAATTAATTGATTATTATTGGTAAATTATAAACTGTTTTTAAATTCATATCTTATTTTGACTTGAAAACGAGACAATTATTTTTAGAAAATAATTAATGGTCAGACCGATAAGTTCCCATACGCTATGAACTTTTATTAGAGTCGACATAATCCCAGTATGGCAAATATTGCACAAGAAATTCCTTTCTGAAGTACTAAATACCGATTGAGAAAAATCTTGTGAACATTGGTGAACAGGTGAAGGACCCGATCAAGCCGCGGAATAGTCAATCCGACAATTGCTATTCGGATTTCATGTAATCATTGAATAAGAACAGATAAGTATTGAAATTTTAGGAATTCGTTTTATTTATTCGAAGTACGATCATTGTTGTTGATTATATAGAAGAACTTTGATGATCGGAACTGAGAATTCCGGATTTTTTTTACTTTCTATCTCTCGAACCCTTCGATCTCTCGAACTTTTCTTGCGGTCCCTTGAACTTCAAGAGATCGAGAGTCACCTGTATTATCATGTGGACTGGTTTGTTAGAAATTCGCATATTTTTGCCAGATAACTGAGATAACTTACTTTCATTATTTGTAGTTTAAATGTAATTTTTGCTCTCCACAACTTGAATATGATAAATGAGGTTTGACTGTATTATCTATTGTTTATCCATTGTTTGTTATATTCTTACTTTAGTTTCCATACACAGTATCCCCAGTGAACAGGGATAAAACACACAACACATGGACTGGCCCAGCAGCTCTGCTCCAACTCGCGCTAACTCTCTGGTGCCAACTTGTTCTTCAATATCTACTGCTCCCTGATTAACTGAAGATTCCTTTATCTACAAATCCAGATTTTAATTTTCACAAAAACCTTTCAGCAAACATGAAACAGAAGCAATTTAAAAAACACATATTTCATTGTCTACAACAGGACAGAATCTGACTGCTATTCTCTTTGTTCAGCTTATTGATAATGATTTGTATGTCTTAAGTAAAACATAGTCATAGCAAACACGCTTAAGTATAGTAAAACATGGTTATAGCAAGCTTATCACATATTTAATGCTAACAACTAAGTGATTTAGACTCCATGTGACTTTAAAACATATCAAAATCATAGAGGATATTACAAATTACAAATCAATTTAATCATCTGTCCCTAACACTTTGTAATATAATAGTTTTACTGTAAACATTTATTAGCTCACCCGAGCCAAAGGCTCAAGTGAGCTTTTCTGATCAAAATTTGTCTGTTGTCTGTCGTTGTTGTCGTTGTTGTCGTCGTAAACTTTTCACATTTTCATCTTCTTCTCAAGAACCACTGGGCCAATTTCAACCAAACTTAGCACAAAGTATCCTTGGGTGAAGGGGATTCAAGTTTATTCATATGAAGGGCCACACCCTTTTCCAAGGGGAGATAATCATGAATTTGTTAAAAATGAATGGCATTTTTAAACAAGAGGCCCACGGGCCTTATAGGTCACCTGAGTATTGTGTAACAACTTTCAAACAATTAAATTTAGTTCATGTTTTAAACCAGAGGCCATGAAATTCACAATTTACAATTTTGAAAGAGGCACCCTTGCTTATCATAATTATCAACTTAGCATGCTTACTCTATTTACTTAATACCCAGAGGTAGATCAGAGTAACAAAGAGAAAATGCACTATCACTTTATACCAAGTTGTGCACCTCACCCTAAAGGAACCAGTGAACCATGGGCCACATATTTCAAAATTCTGCAAATGTTATCATAAAATGGTTGATTAAGACAAAAGAGCAGATTTCAAGGCATTAATTTATTTTCAGACTATGTAACCCCCCCCCCCCCCATCTGACCCTTGGGGCATAAAAAACCACTTTGATAGATGCAACTTTCTTCATCATAAATATATATGTTTACTTGGATAATTGGCATACAACCCAGGAGCAAAGGAAAAGATTTTCAAAGAATTTATTTTTACTATATAATCAATAGAGCCCCGCCCTAGCACCATAACCCTTAAACTTGAGGCCTTAAAATTCTAAATTTTGGAAGAGGCACTCTTGCTCATCATAACTATTTGCTAAGTTAGTTTATTTAATACCTAGAAACAGAGAAGATTTTCAAAGAATAAATGCATTTTCACTATATAATCTATAGAGTCACGCCCTAACACCAGAACCCCTGACCCTGGGGCCATAAAATTCAAAATCTGGAAGAGGTACTCTTGCTCATCATTACTTTGTGATTAGTTAGCTTATTTAATACCCAGGAGTAGAGAAGAAGATATTCAAAGAAATTATGCATTTTCACTATATAATCTATAGAGCCCCGCCCTAACACCAGAACCCCTGACCCTGGGGCCATAAAATTCACAAATCTGGAAGAGGTACTCTTGCTCATCACTACTTTGTGCTTAGTTAGCTTATTTAATACCCAGGAGTAGAGAAGAAGATTTTCAAAGAAATTTTGCATTTTCACTATATAATCTATAGAGCCCTGCCCTAACACCAGAACCCCTGACCCTGGGGCCATAAAATTCACAAATCTGGAAGAGGCACTCTTGCTCATCATAACTATGTGCTTAGTTAGTTTATTTAATACCCAGGGGCAGAGCAGAAGATTTTCAAAGAAATAATGCATTTTCACTATGTAAGCTATATAGCCACCCCCCCCCCCAAACACCAGAACCCCTAACCCTGGGGCCATAAAATTCAAAAATCTTGAAGAGGCACTCTTGCTCATCATATCTATGTGCTTAGTTAGTTCATTAAATACTCAAGAGCAGAGAAAAAGATTTTCAAAGAATAAATGCATTTTCACTATATAATCTATGGAGCCCGGCCAGAACACCAGAACCCCTGACCCTGGGGCCATAAAATTCACAAATCTTGAAGAGGCACTCTTGCTCACCATAACTATGTTCTTAGTTAGTTTATTCAATACCCAGGAGCGGAGCAGAAGATTTTCAAAGAAATAATGCATTTTCACTATGTAATCTATAGAGCCCCCCCCCCCCCAACACCAGAACCCCTGACCCTGGGGCCATAACATTCACAAATCTTGAAGAGGTACTCTTGCTCATCATAACTATGTGCTTAGTTAGTTTATTTAATACCCAGGAGCAGAGAAGAAGATTTTCAAAGAAATAATGCATTTTCACTATATACTTATTAAGCCCCACCCTTGTACTAGAACTCCTGACCCCAAGGCCATGAATTTCACAATTTTGGTAGAGGACTCAATGCTGATTACAATCATGCAAATAGTTTGACTGCTTGTTGTCTAGGAGTAAAGAAGAAGATTTTTAAAGATTGCATTAATTTTAGTGGTTTTGGCCCCACCCCTCAGGCCCCAGGGGGGCAGGGATCATGAAATTCACAATTTTTGTTCCCCTTTACCCATAGATGCTTTGTGCCAAATTTGGTTGAAATTGGTTCAGTGGTTTCAGAGAAGAAGCTGAAAATGTTCAAATGTTAACACACGACGACGTTTGAACAAAAAGAGGTACTCTTGCTCATCATATCTATGTGCTTAGTTAGTTCATTAAATACCCAGGAGCAGAGAAGAAGATTTTCAAAGAATTATTGCATTTTCACTATATAATCTATAGAGCCCCGCCCTAACACCAGAACCCAGACCCGGGGGGCATAAAATTCACAAATCTGGAAGAGGTACTCTTGCTCATCATTACTTTGTGCTTAGTTAGCTTATTTAATACCCAGGAGTAGAGAAGAAGATATTCAAAGAAATTATGCATTTTCACTATATAATCTATAGAGCCCCGCCCTAACACCAGAACCCCTGACCCTGGGGCCATAAAATTGACAAATCTGGAAGAGGCAATCTTGCTCATCATAACTATGTGCTTAGTTAGTTTATTTAATACCCAGGAGCAGAGCAGAAGATTTTCAAAGAAATATTGCATTTTCACTATGTAAGCTATATAGCCACCCCCCCCCCCCCCAAACACCAGAACTCCTGACCCTGAGGCCATAAAATTCAAAAATCTTGAAGAGGCACTCTTGCTCATCATATCTATGTGCTTAGTTAGTTCATTAAATACTTAAGAGCAGAGAAAAAGATTTTCAAAGAATAAATGCATTTTCACAATATAATCTATGGAGCCCTGCCAGAACACCAGAACCCCTGACCCTGGGGCCATAAAATTCACAAATCTTGAAGAGGCACTCTTGCTCACCATAACTATGTTCTTAGTTAGTTTATTCAATACCCAGGAGCGGAGCAGAAGATTTTCAAAGAAATAATGCATTTTCACTATGTAATCTATAGAGCCCCCCCCCCCCCCCCCAACACAACAACCCCTGATCCTGGGGCCATAACATTCACAAATCTTGAAGAGGTACTCTTGCTCATCATAGCTATGTGCTTAGTTAGTTTATTTAATACCCAGGAGCAGAGAAGAAGATTTTCAAAGAAATAATGCATTTTCACTATATACTTATTAAGCCCCACCCTTGTACTAGAACCCCTGACCCCAGGGCCATGAATTTCACAATTTTGGTAGAGGACTCAATGCTGATTACAATCATGCAAATAGTTTGACTGCTTGTTGTCCAGGAGTAAAGAAGAAGATTTTTAAAGATTGCATTAATTTTAGTGGTTTTGGCCCCACCTCTCATCCCCCAGGGGGGCAGGGATCATGAAATTCACAATTTTTGTTCCCCTTTACCCATAGATGCTTTGTGCCAAATTTGGTTGAAATTGGTTCAGTGGTTTCAGAGAAGAAGCTGAAAATGTTCAAATGTTAACACACGACACACGACAACGTTTGAACAAAAAGAGGTACTCTTGCTCATCATATCTATGTGCTTAGTTAGTTCATTAAATACCCAAGAGCAGAGAAAAATATTTTCAAAGAATAAATGCATTTTCACAATATAATCTATGGAGCCCCGCCCGAACACCAGAACCCCTGACCCTGGGGCCATAAAATTCACAAATCTTGAAGAGGCACTCTTGCTCACCATAACTATGTTCTTAGTTAGTTTATTCAATACCCAGGTGCAGAGCAGAAGATTTTCAAAGAAATAATGCATTTTCACTATGTAATCTATTTGTTCAAATGATGAACGCCTGATGTGCTCAGGTGAGCGCTGTGGCCCCTGAGGCCAAAATAAAAAATACCTTTGTTTCCCCTAACGCGACCGACCCAATTTAAACGCGCCGACTGAAAAGATTTTTTTAAATAAGATGATTCAAAATTTTTTTTATTGTCAACCAAGTTTTATTAAATACAATTTCATCAAAATCAGTTTTTAACAGAACGACCGACATTTTTCTCCTGTGATTTTCAAGCATTTGATGGAAACAAAATAGCGCCCAGATGTGATTATAGAGAAGTTCTTCATAAAACAAGGGCGATGTCTCAATCTTATGCCTTTTGCTGACTAAAATTCTTCACTCTTGAAGCAATTTGATAAAATTTACAATGACTTATTAAGAGTTTCTGAGGTGTCTTGGTGTCTCCATGTGAGTGAATAAATTTTCGAAAGGGACGGTAAACAACGAACAAACGAATCTGTATGTTGAATTTCAGGTACGTAATACATGGAAAGGCCAGCCTCATGAGCAGATGAGGGGCCCACCTAGTGAACACATCATTCAATTTCACTGCATTTTATTTAATTTGAGTTTTGATCTGATAAACAATTCATCTATGTTCCTATGTTAACTTTATGCCATTATGGAATCATAGGAGTTGTTGTAAATATGTCTGCATATTCATCCTGATAAATATAATTCAGTTGTACTTTTACATGCCTTCATTTACGGGTTAAACTTCGTGACTATGACATTGTTTTATATAGAATTTCTATCATTTGTAGATTTGGTTTGGTTCATTTAAATACTGTTTAAATACTCTTTCCAAATAGTTTTGAAATCATAATTCAACTTCCTGAGACGTCCAGTGTCATTTTCTTTAATTAGGCCCTTGAAGATTGGTTGTTTCTTTGCTCTTAATCCCTTCGAGATTTGTTGGGACATTTGAACATTTCCCCATTGCTCCAAATTTAGATGCACTACGCACTTTTTTGCCATTAAGCAGTGGGATCTTTTGCGCGCCACTGCGACACTGGACAAAAGTTTTTATGGTCCCTTTTGAAGGACCGTTTACAATGTCCTCATTGGTATTTAAACCTGCGACTTAATTTTTAGCCACTTACGTCTTAACTCTAAAGCAAAATGCGCTAGAACCGCTGCAAATCTCATAGCCCTAAAAAAAAGTACAATGACTGTCTATAAGCACTGGAGGGTGATTGAAGGTTTGAAAAAATATACTCGGATGTCCAGTCTTTTGGTATTTGAGAATCTTGTCTATTTTTATTCGATTTTTATAAATGTACTCTGGTGAGATATTTCACAAGCTCATCTAAATTACAGTTGTGAATTAATTAACCATGAATTTTGCATTTAAACGGCATATGTATGATACTTAGCAATTTGTTCACAAATCACTTTCTTTTGTACTTTCCTTATTTATAAATATGTAATTTTCCATTAAATTTTAGAATGTATTTTCAAAGATGCTGTCAGAAAATAAAATTGTTTACCTACCTACCGACCCAACTTGAGAATTTAGGGTCGGGTTAGGGGAAACAAAGATATTTTTAATTCCGGCCTGGGCCTCTTGTTTCAAACTCTTTTCAATTGAAAAAAAGTTCAACAAAGATCATAGCTCAGGGAAACAAAATAATATCTCTACAAAAAATAAACAGTTAAATAAAAGATCTCCATTGGCTGGTATTACCATTAACTCTACAAGGAGAGGCTTTTTAAGTCTAAAATTGCATTTAAAAGTAATGAATTCTTCTTAAGCATGTTTAAACTAAAATTACCTTCACCAGGAAAAAGAGTTCTTCCATTGACTTCCCTTTAGAGAAGAAATGATACGCCAGATCTGGACTGTTTCTCACGGATTGGTCTCGGAAGGTAAACGATCTCTGGGGTATTTCACTAAAACACAAGATCAATACGTCAGAAAGAGTTAATAAATATTCAACCTTCCCTTTCTTTTAATTCACCCTCTGATTCCTCAGTCTTTCAATGTAAATGTACAACCTCTTGTGATGGTCGTTTTAAGTCATGGGATTTCAATACATGTATAATTCAATCCACAGGGATTTAAAACCATATATATGTTGTAAGCATCAATTCCTTATTAGGCTGTTGACTATAAGTATGTTATACTGTACTATAAGGCTGTTTAATGTTGCAACATAGTGTACTAACCCTTTTTTTAAGGAAAACATCCTTCCAAACACTTCAAAATAATTTTGGAAGAAATTGTCAGGATGTGTCACACACTCTGTATCACCATGACCCTGTGACCTTGCTTGTTGACCCCGTGATCCTGCCCTTCTCCTCTTTCTTCCCTTCTCCTCGGACTTGGCCTCGGTAAACAGTGTCTTTTTGGTCAGTTGAGATGTCTCCACAGCAAACTCCCTGACAGCTAGCACCATTCCATTCACCTGACTCTGTGTATAGGAAATCACAGAGGAATCCAGTCCTCTGAAAAATAGGCAAAAATTGTTTATGTATAAATAATGAATAACTTCCAGTCAAGAAGTTTATTGACACAAGTTAAGCATAATTAATACTGTTCATTGTTTGTGGATTGATACAGATAATATATAATTGAGTGTCTCTCATGTTGTGTATAAATACAGTTAATAGATAATTAACTGTACCTCCATCTGATTATGGATACAGGTTATGTATAACTTACTGTTCCTCCTTCTGATTATGGATACAGGTTATGTATAACTTACTGTACCTCCTTCTGATTATGGATACAGGTTATGTATAACTTACTGTACCTCCTTCTGATTATGGATACAGGTTATGTATAACTTACTGTACCTTCTTCTGATTATGGATACAGGTTATGTATAACTTACTGTACCTCCTTCTGATTATGGATACAGGTTATGTATAACTTACTGTTCCTCCTTCTGAGTATGGATACAGGTTATGTATAACTTACTGTACCTCCTTCTGATTATGGATACAGGTTATGTATAACTTACTGTACCTCCTTCTGATTATGGATACAGGTTATGTATAACTTACTGTACCTCCTTCTGATCATGGATACAGGTTATGCATAACTTACTGTACCTCCTTCTGATTATGGATACAGGTTATGTATAACTTACTGTTCCTCCTTCTGAGTATGGATACAGGTTATGTATAACTTACTGTACCTCCTTCTGATTATGGATACAGGTTATGTATAACTTACTGTACCTCCTTCTGATTATGGATACAGGTTATGCATAACTTACTGTACCTCCTTCTGATTATGGATACAGGTTATGTATAACTTACTGTACCTCCTTCTGATCATGGATACAGGTTATGCATAACTTACTGTACCTCCTTCTGATCATGGATACAGGTTATGTATAACTTACTGTACCTCCTTCTGATTATGGATACAGGTTATGTATAACTTACTGTACCTCCTTCTGATCATGGAT